GTCTAATTGCGTATAAATCAAGGCACTGTCAACGTCAATTGTCGCAGGCAAAGAAGACGCAGCCAACAACTACGCACGCGGTTGCTACGGAGTAGGGAAGGAGATGTTGGATCTGGCTCTGGATCGCACGCGCCTGTTGGCCGACGACTGTCACTCCTTGCAAGGCTTCATCCTGTTCCGGGCCTTTGGAGGGGGCACCGGTTCCGGCTTCACCAGCGCGTTCCTAGAGGCGCTGCGCAGCGACTACCGCAAGAGCTCCGTGCTGGACTTTTCCGTCTATCCGGCGCCGCACATTTCGCCCATCATTGTCGAGCCGTACAACGCCGTGCTGACCACCAACGGCTGCATCGAGAACCAGGACGTCTGTTTCGTGATGGACAACGAGGCCGTGTATGATATCCTGGACCGGAAGCTGGACACGCCCCGTCCTACCTACACCAATCCCAATCGCCTACTCGGTCAGGTGGTGAGCGCCGTGACGGCGTCGCTGCGCTTCGAAGGCGCCGTCAACGTCAGTCTGGATGAGTTCCAGACCAACCTGGTGCCGTATCCGCGCATCCACTTTCCCCTCATCACCTATGCACCGTTTGTGGCCGCCCACAAGGCCATGCACGAACAACTGAGCGTCGCCCAGCTGACCAACTCCTGCTTCGAGCCGGCCAACCAGATGGTCAAGTGCGACCCGCGCAATGGCAAGTACATGTCCTGCTGTCTGTTGTTCCGCGGCGACGTTTCGCCCACCGACGTCAACACCGCCATCAACACGATCAAAAGCAAGCGCTCCATCCAGTTCGTGGACTGGTCGCCCACCGGCTTCAAGGTCGGCATCAACTACATGCCGCCCACCACTGTGCCGGGCGGTAAGTGGCCGCTTATTGCCCCCCGACACTTTTCTCTTTGTTCTGATGTTTGTAGGCGATCTGGCAACCGTCACCAGAGCGGTAACAATGCTGTCTAACACAACGGCCATCAAGGAGGCCTGGGAGCGGCTATTGCGCAAGTTCGACATAATGTACCGGAAGCGCGCCTTTGTCCACCACTATGTGGGCGAGGGGATGGAGGAGGGGGAGTTTCAGGACGCCCGCGAAAACCTTGCCGCCCTCGTCCAGGACTACCAGGAAGTGGACAGTGGTTGACCTTGACTGAACCCCAAGACCCGCCAACTAGATGAGTCGATACTCAAACACTGAGAATGACAACTGACAACAATGAATGTCACTGTGAATAAACGAAGTAAACAGCGTAGGCAAATTTGGGGCGAATTTCGCGGCGATAATTGTTGTTTTGCAATGCGGTAATTGGGTCTTATGGAGGCGGCGAGCGAAAGAAATCCGCCTGTTAATAAGGGCGCCCAAATCGGCTTGGGGGATGGAGAATGGTCGCCTTCGGCTCTCAAAAACGTACGTCGCCTTATTGGAGAGCGGCTTA